AAAAGAAGCACATTAAGGTCCTAGAGTGGCCTAGCCAGTCTCCAGACCTTAATCCAATTGAAAATCTGTGGAGGGAGCTGAAAGTTCGAGTTGCCAAATGCCAGCCACCAAACCTTAATGACTTGAAGAGGATCTGCCAAGAGGAGTGGGCCAAAATCCCTCCTGAGATGTGTGCAAACCCGGTGGCCAACTACAGGAAACGTCTGACCTCTGTGATTGCCAACAAGGGATTTGTCATGTTTTGTGAAGGGGATCAAATACTTATTTCCCTCATGAACATGTAAATCAATGCATAATTTGTTAGACGTGCATTTCTTTTGAATTTATTGTTGCTATTCTGTCTCAGTGTTACAATACACCTACCATTCGATTTTTAGACTGATCATTTCTTTGTGAGTGGGCATACATTCAAACTCAGCAGGGGATCAAATTCTCATTTCCTTCACTGTAAGCTGTCGCTGGAGGATGTGGAATATCTGCTTAAAGCGATTCATGCCACCTTAGACATTAAAGAGGAGAAAAGAGATCTCTCCCTCCATGATAAAATGTACCTGGGCCTTAGTGAGCCAAAAGGGGGATGTTTTTCTGTACATTCAGCCATCTCAGACATGATAAAAAAGGAATGGCAGGATCCAGAAAGGAAACAGTTTTTTTTTCTAGATCTCACAAGAGACGGTTCCCATTTGAAGAGGTCTCCTCGTCGGTATGGAACAAAATGCCTGAGGTAGATGCTGCATTTTCCCAAGTCTCAAAAAGCACAGACTTAGCCTTTGAAGACATAGGGAGCCTGAAAGAGGCTATGGATAAAAGAATGGATTTGCTGTTGAAGAGATCATGGCATTCCATAATGGAGAATTTGAAACCGGCTATGGCAGTCACATGCGTAACAAGAAAATGTATATTATATAGGGCGCGCTTGTTAGAGCCTAACCTCCTGTAGCTGTAGGATGAAGGTGCCAGATGGATTTCAGGGATGGATGGAAGCAGTAACACTGAGGCAGCTCTTCTTAGAGTGGAAGCAAGGCTCTAATGCAGTAAACATGAAAAAGAGTGGAAGGCGCCTCTAAGTGCAGTATTGACAATTTATTAGTGAACAATAGATATATTGCACTTGCAAGATACATAGTTAAAAAGACTCATCGTGTGGTGTAATAAGATTCAGATGAGAAATCCAGCCGTCCAGCAGCAAACTCTGTCTATGGGATCAGGAAGTAGAGCCCAGGATGTTCCTGTGCATCAAAATGAGGCTTGGAGAGCAGAGTCTGCTGTAGGAGGTGAAGGGGCGGTAATGCGTTTCGGAGCATGCTCAGTTGGCTCAGAGCAGAGAAGTAATATGGTCAGCCAGGGTTTTGAAACAGAGTTTGCAGAGGTGCTCCCAAGAAGGTTTTTTTGCTACGGATATTCCGAGGAATCCGGTAAAAGCTCTTGCTATGAAGAACCTGGTTCAGGATCTGCTATTCCAAAGAGTGGTGGTTCCAGTCCTGTCAGGGGAAAAACAAATGGGTTTTATTCTCATATGTCAGGAAAATTTTGGTTGATCCTCAACTTAAAACTCTTGAACAAAGCAGTGTGATAAAAGTGGTTCCAAATGGATTAAATCTTTTCAGTCAGAAACCTCCTGTTTGCAGATTGCTTCATGGCATCAATTAATCTAAGGGACACCTATTTGCACATCCCAATCAGAGAGCACTCCCCAAGATTTTTGAGGCTAGCTCTGAGATCAGGATGCGAAGTTCAGCACCTGCAATTCAGGGCACTGCCTTTCGGGATGTCACCATCTCCCTCCATCTTCACGAAAGTGATGGCGAAAGCCCTAGGTGTGATGGTAATTCCCTACCTAGATGATCTTCTGTTTCTTGCAAGCTCAGAAGACCAGTTGAGAAAGGACCTTCAGGTAGCCCACAGCCATCTGGAAAGTTTGGGCTGGATTGTCATGTGCAGAAATCTAATCTGACCCCGTCCAAGAAGGTTTTGTTTCTGGGGTTCTGCATCTGTTCAGCGGAACAGAAAGTTTTTTTTTGCTAGAAGAAAATACAGGCAGCTTTTGACTCTTCTTCAAGGCAATCGTTAGGTGTCAGTCAGGTTCTTATGTTAGCTCTGGGACTGTTGACAGCCTCCATCCTGTCCAGTGGGCAAGATTACACTTCAGGTTCCTTCAACTATTCATCCTGAGAGTTTGGAATGGGGTGGTGGTGGAGGAGGCAGGAGGTTCTCTCCAAAGGTCCATCCTGGTCCTTTCTGGTGGAAAGGAGCCCCACCATGGATGCCAGCTCCTGGGGCTGGGGGCACACCTGGGAGGTCAGCTCACACAGGTGCAGTGACCCAAGCAACAAAGGTCAAACTCCCCAAACTGGAGGGAAATAAAAGTGATTGCTTTGGCTTTCTCTCAGGAGCTCAGGACAACGCCACAGTGGTAGCCTACGCAAATAAGCAAGGCAGCACAAGAAGCAGGAGTCTTCAAAGTCTGGAGGAAGAAGTTGTGACTTTGGCGGAAGTCAATTTGGCATCCTTGTCAGCAGTCCATCTCAAAGGCTTGCTGAACCTGGTAGCCGACTTCCTGAGCAGATACCAGCTGAAGGAGGGCGAGTGGTGCCTAAGTTTTCCTCAGCTTTGTTCAGGAATGGGGTCAGCCACAAATCGATCTTTTAGTGAATCGTCAGAATACCAAAACTTGTCAGTTCTTTTCCCTGAACAAGGAAGATGGAGTAGTAGGTATCGATGCTCTCGCTCAAAGGTGGAGCTTCCAGCTGTGCTATGCCTTTCCCCCCTTCCAACTAATTCCCCTGGCTCTGAAGAAGTTGCAGTGAACCAAATGCAGTGTCTCCTGCGCTCCGGGACCCAGGCCGGTGGTGAGTAGATGGAATCAAACTCCAAAAAGGAAGGGACCACTGGAATAGACAAGGTCGTGCAGCTCCACTCCAAGGCTGGGGAAGCCCAAACAAAACTGTGAAGAAGAACAACAAAAGAGAAGCGCACCAACCTTGCTCTGAGGAAGAAGGCATGTCCTTCGAAACGCGTCAGCTGTACTGAGTGGCTTCCTCCATGATGGGATTCGCATTGGCATCTTGCCTCTAAAGTCCCTTTGAGGACTTACATGCTTGTTTTTATTCGCTGTTTGTGAGTACCATTCTTTTATTTAATAAATTTTGGTTACTGAGGTAATGCGCAAGGTTGGTGCGCTTCTCTTTTGTTGTTCTTCTTCACAGTTCTGAAGAAGTTGCAAACAGAGTTCAAGTCATTTTCGTGGCTCCCTTCTGGCCGAAAAGGTCATGGTTGACAACTCTCCTCCGGTTGTCAGACCATATTGGATGACCATATCAAGAGCTGTGGGCAGTGAAGGACGTAGAGCCAAATTATGTGGCTATTATCCACAGTCACCCACAGCCTGTAGGTCCAGGGTGAATAGTTGTAGGAAGGGAAGCAATGCCCAGAAGTAATATTGCTGGTTGGAAGACCAGGGCAAAGCACTCAAACTCTCTGTAGAGAGCTGACTCTGCTGTACTGAAATCATAAGCAGTGTTGTCGGTTCTGTCCAGTTCTCCTCTGTTATGGAGATGAGGATAGTGGGAGGTGATCCATAATTCAGCATTGGAGAACTGGGCAGGACTGACAAAATTACACTGTTAGGCTGGGGTGGGCCATTAATTTTCCCAAGAGGCCTCATGAGAAAGGGAATGCAGGGAATAATTTAATATCTGAGCCGCATTTTTACCCAAGCCCAACCCCCCCCCCCCCCCCGTGCTGCCCACCGGAACTGTAAAATAACAGCCTAATGGGGCTGTTTATATGCCATGGCATTTTTAACTTGGGCTGCGGAGTTTGACAAGTGGTGCTGAGATCAATGCAACAGGGATTTCTACATATCCTGATCTGGAGTAAAAAAATAAGTGCATAACTCCTGGGGTTTGCAGCTTGCAGGCACTAACACAGGAAGTATTTGGCTGCGCAGCTGTGAGCGTGTCGAGACGTCTCATAGGCAAAGCTCTCTCACCAGAACCAAGCCTCCATACTGTTCCAATAAGCTCCTCAGGCCCTCTCCTTCCAGTTCTTGTAGCTCTCTGCATGGACATCTGTCAGCTTCCTCCATGAGGAAGATGACAGGCTCAGAGAGATATGCTGACAGGCATTGAGTGCCGGACAGGAACAGTCAAAAAGCCGGATGTGGTCCTAAGGCCCAATTTTCCCAGGTCTGCTATAAGGGAGATGTAAGATTCATTTTGTGACAGGAATCCGTGGACTATATCTGCAGCCTTGCTGCCAATCTGAAGTTCTAAATGTCACTTATTTATTTTTTATTTATTTCAGGTACTTATATAGCGTCAATTTACGCAGCGCTTTACATATATATTATATATTCACATCAGTCCCTAACCCTCAAGGGGTGAACAATCTAAGGTCCCTAGCTTACATTCATACATACACATAGTAGGGCCAATTTAGACAGGATCCAATTCGCCTACCAGCATGTCTTTGGAGTGTGGGAGGAAACCGGAGTACCCGGAGGAAACCCACGCAGGCATAGGGAGAACATGCAAACTCCAGGCAGGAGGTGCCATGGATGGGATTCGAAACAACGACCCTAGTACTGCCAGGCGGAAGTGCTAACCATTTAGCCACTGTGCTCTTCTTTTAAATTACAATTCTACAAGAGATCACATGGCAATATACAACAGATGTCTAATTGTGGTAATTAACCGCATAACACATTTTTAGCCAACGCAGAAAAAAAACCCAAGCTGCGTGGACCAATCCTACTGCTGCAATGCTCAGGTGTGGATTAGGTAATTTACAACCAACCTCAAGTGAGGTAATGAGCACTTTTAATAATTTACACTCATGTTATTACGCAGAGACTTTCCAGGTTGCTGGAGAATCTGTATGTAATGGGGTTGATGCTCCTCTCTTCTTTCATATGAACCAACTTGATATTTGTGTTTAGTGGCCTCTTAAAAGGTGGCATTTGCTGTTACCTAGTAACTTTTTTTTTTTATCTCTGTTTGGATTCAGATTGAGAAGTTGAAGCACAACCTGATGAAGGCTGAAGATGATTGTAAACTGGAGCGGAAACAGACAATGAAATTAAAGAATGCAATTGAAAAAAGGCCAAGCAGGGATGTAATCTATGAGCTGCAAAGAGAAAATGAGCTGCTGAGAGCCAAAATCCAGGAACTTGATAAACCACTACAGGTGAGGTTTACTATTCCTTCCCCATGCCATTACAGGTCTGGAAAGTTATTATAAAACATTTTATCCAAAATCAAAAATAGTAGGAAGACGGGAGTGATTTTGTGAATGAGCCCAATAGACATTTTTACTTATTGCTATAAACCTCATTTAAAACGTACTTTTTAATAAATTGAAGCTTCCAATCCCATTAAAAAAAGCAGATCATTCTTAAAATATTTTTAAATGCCCCACATGTGCCAGATAGTATCCTTGGAAGTAAGTCCTCTCCTTTTCTGGGAGTTTCTAACTACTACTGTGTTGGCCCAGCTTCTCTGTTCTCAGCTCTCTACATAAACTTTAGTGTGGTTGTTGCAATAAAGATGTTAACTGTAAATATACCTTTACTGAAAGATTTTTGTTGAACTTAATTCCTAGCTGTATCTGAGTACCACAAACCCAAAATGCTGTTTAATTTTTTTAATATTCAAAGCAAAGTCACCCAGCCATCCAAGGGGGGGGGGGGGGTCTAAAACTGAAGAGTGCAAAATCTGGTGCATCTGCATAGAAACCAATCCGCTTCCAGGTTTTATTGTCAAAAGTTAATTGAACAAACCGAAGTTAGAAGCTAACTGGCTACCATGAACAGCTGCACAGATTCTGAATGCTCCAGTTTTAGAAAATCTCCCCCATGGCTGGTCAACCTACCTGTGCCATTGCAAGACATTTATAATACGAACTATGTTAACCTAATGCCCTTTCTGTTGTTTAGTTGTAATAGGGACATTGTGTTCAGTGGCACTGAGGAAGAGAGGAAGATCCAACAAAGGGCTGGGTATTGTGGGACATGTAGTCCAGAAGGCTGAGATTTGCAAGGAGCCGATGCATGCTGGGAGAGGATATATATGTTGGAATCCTGAGAGTGCGCTTCCTTTTGGGACTACGGGCTGAAGCTGCAAGCAGGGACCTTGATGCTGTGAGAGTTAAGTAGGCTGCGTGGTCCGGATGGTGTGGAAAGTCTTTGGCGCATGAGCTACAGACCTGCCAGCAGATCACCTGTCCACAGCTTCCAGTTGGCAGAATTGACTAACCTGAGACGCAAGCATTGTTGCCTCCTCAGTTACAGCAGAATCAGCAGTGTCACAAGGCGCTAGGCCGAGCATCCAATACTGGTTGCAAATTCTGCAGCAGCTTTCCAGGACATCCTAATCGGCCACGGTCATCATCAGGATCGGTGACCAGGCAGAAGCCCAGACTCTGTATACTCTTCATTAAGGGAAATTGCATACACACACCTTTTACGCCTCACATCTGCTTACGAGTTTGTGATCTTTACCTGGAATCATCTACCTAAATATCTACTACTGCTGGTCACCATTGTACAGCAATCCTTTCGGGCCTTTATTGAGCTAGTTGAAGACCCAGGATATTCTTCCCACCAAGACACACTTTGATACTCCAAGTCCAGAACTCGGTGCTTATTTCTGTGCATATCCTAAAGGGGGACTTTGTTTAGAGCTGTTCATTGCATAGCTTATACATTTAGCTTTACAGAATGTGTTGTTTATTTCTGGACCTGTTTCATCAGGATTTTAAGGGAGCAGGCTGACACCAAAAAGTCTTTCTTTTCCCTTTTATACCTGAGGTCAAAGGCTCCCTACTGAGCATATTTGGAGCACTGTTTGTATCATTGTGTTCATCTCTGCCAAGTTCACCTGTGTTCAAACTTTGAGTCCAACAAGGTAGTAATTACATAAAGAGATATTCACAAAATACTCAATACAATACATGTGCATTATGTCTGAACCCAGGGTGTCAGAAGTGTCAAAAGGCTTGCAAGGTTAGGGCAACCTTTGGGGACTATCATCTCACAGCGGTCCTCATGAGGGTGGCGCTACATATGTTAAAGCGGGACTCTGTTTAGAACTGTTCATAGCATAGCTCATTCATTTAGCTTTACAGAGTGTGGTTTATTTCTGGACCTGTGGCATCAGGATTTTAAGGGACCAGGCTGACATTGAGAAATTTTTATTTTCCCTTTTATACTGAGGTCAAAGGCTCCCTACTGAGCATATTTGGAACACTGTATCATTGTGTTCATCTCTGCCAAGTTCACCTGTGTTCACACTTTGAGTCCAACAAGGTGGTAATTACATAAAAAGGTATTCACAAAAATGTTATTTCCTTTTTTCTGGTTACATAATTCTTAGTAAATAGTTGCATTACTGCATTCAAGTGCCTGTTCAGTTGTGTCCTGTGTGCATTATGTCTGAACTCAGAGGTATTGGGTGGCTTGCAAGATCAGGGCAACCTTTGGGGGCCTGTGCTTTCTGCGGCCCTCATGAGGATAGCTCTGCATTAAAAACAAATTAAATAGCTTTTTTTTGGTTTGTAGTGCTCAGATACAGGTAAGTTCCACTCTAAAGAAGAATTAATTTCAACAAAAATCTTAAGTAAATCTCCCCCAAGTCCTCATGCTTTATTTTATTGAGAAATCACTTTGAAAAACAATCCCCTAGCATTTCTAGCCACAGCCATCTTGAGTAAGGACAGCTGATTCATGTAGTATTTACTTCCTGGAATCCATTTGCCCTTAGCTCAGACATGTAGGCAGCAGGGAGGCTGATAAAAACACTCCTCATGCTCATGAAGACTCCTGGGATGTATGACATCATTTTAGCCTATGCCTGAAACCAGAAAGCAACTGAAGAAATTAAAAAAAAAAAAAAAAGTTTAAAATTGTTGAATATACCTTCCTATCTATTAACTTAGGCTAGCAGCATGAGAATTAAATTATGTTGACTGAGAGAGTAAAGTTCCACTTTAAGGCAGATCTGTGACAACATTGTAGTGTATCATTAACTGAGAAGTAATATGAAAGACATAACTCTTGCATTCTTATAACTGTTGGCGGAGGTCATTGCTGTCCGACTGTTTTCTGCTAGTCAATTTTAACTTTTCTTTTTATAAAAAGGGAAAAAAAAAAATCAGTCAAAGCTGAGGTCCGAGACATTGTTGGACACCTCTTAATCATTGTTAGCAATGTGTTCATCTCTTGAAAATGTACCCTTAACAAAGACATATATATAACTTTCAGAATTTGCCAAAAGAGGAGACCTCAGAGAAGATACGGCTGTACATCCAGGATCTGGAAGGTGAACGTAGACAGGCCTTGGAGCAGTATCAGGAGATGGTCAACACCGTGTGCACGCTAAAAATGAGTCTGCGGCAGGCCGAGGACCTCCGAGACAAGGTATCTGAATGTATGATCACTATGGGATCATATTAAAAACACACTACTGTTTTGTAAAACAAAAACCCTGATGTATGGGTTACCATTATGCTTAGTACAATTTTTCTTTGACAGGCCTAAGCAAATCTCATCCAGGACTAGAGGCCAGTTTTAAAAACCTAGGAGCCAGCACTATGCAACCTGCATATGCAGAAATATAGTGCCTTGAAATAGTATTCATACCCCTTGATATTTTCCACATTTTGTGATGTTACAACCAAAAACGTAAATGTATTTTATTGGAATTTTATGTGATAGACCAACATAAAGTGGCATATAATTGTGAAGTGGAAGGAAAATGATAAATTGTTGTCAATATTTTTTACAAATATCTGAAAAGTGTGATGTGTATTTGAATTCAGCCCCCTTTACTCTGATACCCCTATCTAAAATCTAGTGGAATCAATTACCTTCAGAAGTCACCTAATTAGTAAATAGAGTCCACCTGTTGTGTAATTTAATCTCAGTTTTAAATACTGCTGTCCTTGGAAGCCCTCAAAGGTTTGTTAGGGAACATTAGTGAACAAACAGCATCATGAAGGCCAAGAAACACACCAGACAGGTCAGGGATAAAATTGTGGAGAAGTTTAAAACGGGGTTAGGTTATATAAAATGATCCCAAGCTCTGCACATCTCACGGAGCACTGTTCAATCCACCATCTGAAAATGGAAAGAGTATGGCACAACTGCAAACCTACCAAGACATGGCTGTCCACCTAAACTGACAGGCTGGGCAAGGAAAGCATTAATCAGAGAAGCAGCCAAGAGGTTCATGGTAACTCTGGAGGAGCTGCAGAGATCCACAGCTCAAGTGGGAGAATCTATTAGTCGTGCACTCCACAAATCTGGCCTTTATGGAAGAGTGGCAAGAAGAAGGCCATTGTTGAAATAAAACCATAAGAAGTTCCGTCTGCAGTTTGTGAAAAGCCATGTGGGGGACAACAAACATGTGGAAGAAGGTGCTCTGGTCAGATGAGACCAAAATTTAACTTTTTGGCCTAAAAGCAAAACGCTATGTCATGCACCGCCTAGCAGGATCTCTAGTGACCCACAGAATGAGATTCCCCAGAATGCGGAGTCTAAGTCCCAGTCTGCCTTTTCACCAGAGCCCCTGATGGTGGGGATGGACTTGGTGCAAGGGGTGAGCCTGATGTGAAGAGGCTGACAGGTCCAGGACCCGTGCGGGATGGATGGATGACAGTCAGGAGTAAGCGTGGTCAGAGTAGCCTGGTCGGTAACGGTGGAGGCAGATCGGTACAGAGCAGTAGGCGAAGAGTAACCGGGTCCCGAGCCAAGGTTCAGCAACAGGAGGTCCAATAACAAAGGGGCAGGCAGAGGAATAGTCAGGGACGAGCCAGGGATCAGAGCAGGAGAAGGTCAACAGGAATCAGGACAGGCAGGGCGGCAACTAGGAATGCACTTCAGAAAACAGGTAACAGGAACTAGACCTTGCGGCAATCTGATCACCGCCTGGCTAGTTTAAATAGTGCGCCCTGCACCGTCATTGGTGCCAGGCGCACGCCCGCGTGCGCATGTGCAGCCGCAATTGCCACCGCAGGCGCCCAGGTCCTAATGCCTGCACATTGGTGTGCCTGGGCAATCTGTGCACGTGCAGACCCATGCGCCGCGGTGAGACCCACGGTCCCTGACACGCTATGTGTGGAGGAAAACTAACACTGCACATGGCCCTGAACATGCCATCCCCACCGTGAAACATGGTGGTGGCAGCATCATGTTATGGGGATGCTTTTCTTCAGCAGGAATAGGTCAGGGTTGATGGGAAGATGGAGGAAGGCAAACACAGCGCAATCTTGTATTGAACTGTATTGTTACTGTACTGTCTCCCTCCATAATGCAAAGCACTGAGCAAACTGTCGGTGCTATATAAGTCCTGTATAATAATAATCTTAGAAGAAAACCTGTTATAGTCTGCAAAACACTTGAGACTGGGGTGGAGGTTCACCTTCCAGCAGGACAATGACCCTAAACATACAGCCAGAGCTACAATGGACTGGTTTATATGAAAGCATATTTATGTATTTAGAGTGGCCCAGTCAAAGTGCAGACCTAAATCCAATTGAGAATCTGTGGCAAGACTTGAACATTGCTGTTCATAGACGCTCTCTCTCCAATCTGACAGAGCTTGCTATTTTGCAAAGAACAATGGGCACAAATTTCACTCTCTAGATGTGCAAAACTGGTAGAGACCTCCCCAAAAAAAAAAAACGTAGTTGTAATTGCAGTGAAAGGTGGTTCTACAAAGTCATGACTCTGGGGGGCTGAACACAAATGCACGCCACACATTTCAGATATATATTTTGAAAATCATTTATCATTTTCCTTCCACTTCACAATTATGTGCCACTTTGTGTTGGTCTATCACATAAAATTCCAATAAAATACATTTACGTTTTTGGTTGTAACATGACATAATGTGGAACATTTCAAGGGTATGAATACTTTTTCAAGGCACTGTAAGTTTATCATATGTACATGTGTATCCATCATCAGCTTGATCCATATCGCAGTGCACCAGTATGGGCGATCCTTGCGTGCATAGAAGTTCATAAATACAAAAGCAGCCATAAACATTTCAGTAATGATAACTTCCACAGTTATTGGGTGTTTACAATTCTGGCTGGGTGTACGCAGGTGCTGGATAAGGAATTACAGTTTTAATATCAATATTTAGGCTGCTCTGCCTTTATTGTCCTGGCAGCTGTCCATGATAGGAATCAACGTACGTCAGTAGGAAGTGACACAAAGTTCAGTGAACTCCAGTCAGGTACTGAGACAGCAGTTTGGCAGGGGTCATAAACACACACCATAAGCCCTTTCTGTTTATTTTGTAGGTTAACACTCATACCATATTCACTTTATTAGGTACTACAACTATCATAATGCTCCAGGAGGTTTCACTTGGGTTACAGGTTGAAGAAGCGGGTTGTAGAAGCATGCTAGCTGTGCCCACTGCCCATCTCCTTACTAAACCTGTTCCAGCCTCTACCAGCTTCTCCCAACAGCACCTTGTGAGAGTGGCAGTCAGCTGTGGGCAAGGGAAGGTGGAGCTGTTGGGGCAAGTAGTTGGGAAGGGACATACTTGAGTGGAGGGGAGCAGGAGTGGAGTGTGGAGGAGAGGGAGGAAAAAGTTTATTTAATGTGCCACTCTTGCTTCCAAGCTGGACCAGGAGGCCAAAATAGTTTTTTCAGTCGCAGTGATGACCTGATGTCCAGTGAGGCTTTACATTTTCTGTTTTCCCGTTCTTACATATGGCATCAGACATGAATGGGAGAACCCAAAGAAATAAAGCTGAAGTTTAGGTATGAATTTTATGTCATAGTTACATTCGTCCAGCTTGAACTCATATACTAATATAAAACACAAGGGTGCAGCGCTAAAAATATATCCTGATATCACTGAACAGGACGTAAATATGTGATGTTATAAAAACACAATAAAGTGCTCATAAAGTGACAGTGCAATTCACATATAAATCAGTCTGTAATAAAGTGCCATAAATGTGATAATCGTGAGCACTATATTCTGTATTTTAGAGAGACACCACTGTTTAACAGCATATGAAGTCCAGAAATGATGGTAAAAATTCATCCAAATATACATCCAAATATAGTCTCTAACAGGTGAAATGTGTGCTCCAAGTTATTCAGGTGATGTGCCAGAAAGGAATGTTAAGACTGCACACTCACCAGATAGATAATCATAATTCACAATGTATATGATAATCAGCCGGAGGTCTCCCTTAATGGTAATCAGCAGCCTGGTCAGGTCCAAGAGATCCCTTTCCTCCAGGTAATCTGCCACACAACTGCCGTCCTCCAGGATGGGCTTTGGATTTGGCTGTAATAAGACTTCTGTCTGCTTGATAATTTTTTCAGTCCATACTTTTGTGCTTTCAGCCTTGGCAAGAAGATTCTCGAGGTGGGCATCTAGCTCTGTATTCTCTGCCTGTCCAAGTTTCTCTTCTGTAAACTGCACTGCCCAGCTCAGGAAGGTGCCGGCGTCAGTGTCACTTTATGGGCACTTTATTGTGTTTTTATAACATCACATATTTTACGTCCTGTTCAGCGATATGAGGATATATTTTTAGCGCTACACCCTTGTGTTTTATATTTAAATGTAGTATCCTGGCACAGGGCATCAGTCAGAGCTGTTAATATCATACCATAACCACAATGTTTTACTGTTGTTGACGCAGCAATGGCTGAATGATCTCTCTTGAAATCTGCTTTTTACCATCACATTGCCTTATAGCTTACTGATCCAACTTCAAATTGTGTCCTACATTATTTGAGAGGTGCCATATTGTTTTTTTCCGTTGTGGTTATAGATATGTTACCACCTTGTGGTAATCTGTAGCAGAGTAAACCACTTTTTTCAGACATGAAAACACTATGGGGGAATTTAAAGCTGCTGTTCCACTTTTTTTCTGTTCCCTTTTGTTACTTTATTGCACCAAATTCATGAAGCATTTGCAACACTTCTGGTTCTGACAGCAACACATGCACCAAATTCAAATTCAAAGTCCTCTGAACTCTATTACCACCTCTCCTATGTGCCTCTACAGTATCAATTCCACAAAATTTTAACAAACTAGGATCTGAATTGTGGAATTCTTTAAAATGCCTTGACACACACTATGATCCTTTTTCCCTTCTTAATGTTGGCTATATGTTCTCTTAGCCTATCACGGAGGAAATATTGAAGTTGATTTTAATATATATAAAAAAGATGTAGCCAGGTATGATGATGTATAGGGATGAAATATATGTATTAATTATTAATTTTTGTATATGTAATATTTTTGTATTGTTGTGAGTAGGTTCCTAAGTAATAATCCCTGGGGGGGTCTAGCACAGGGCTTGAAAAAGCCGCTCGCCAAATGTGAGGAGAAATTCCTCTGTGTCGAGCAGCGAGTGGCTGCGAGCGGTGAGCACAGATGAAGCTTGGAGAGACTGCACCTGCGCTTCAAGCCTCATTGTGAAGCCGAGTTCAGGTTTACAACTTCCGGTTTCTGGCTTCTGCGGCACTGATGCCGAGGGGACAAGTGCAGGAGAGGTCCGCTCTCCGCTGAGACACCCTATCCACCACCGCGGGGGACTCGGGGGGACAGTAAGTACTGTATGTAACATGTCCTATCACTATAATGGCGTACAGGGGAGCTGGGATATACATTACTCATCTCCCTGTACTCCTATATAGTGATATGACATGTATACAGTAATCATTACTGTATACATGTCATATCACTACAATGGAGTACAGGGGAGCTGGGATATACATTACTAGGATTACTGCATACATGTCATATCACTATAATGGAGTACAGGGGAGCTGGGATATACATAGTGTATACATGTCATATCACTATAGTGGAGTACAGGGGAGCAGTGATATACATTACTGTGTACAGTTTTATATTTCAGACTATTCTAAAGATAAATGTAATTTCATAAGCTTTAAGGGGGCGTGGTTGGGATTGGGGGCAGGCCGGGGGTGGGGTTGGGGGCGGGCCTGGGCAAGGTTGGGTGGGGCAACTGGTGGCGAGTAAGTTTTTTGTGACCGGCTAGTAGGTCTGGATTTTAACCCCTGGTCTAGGATTTATAGCAGTATGAAGAGGGACAATATTTAATCCCTGGTTGTGGTAGGATATATCATATCAGAAAGAGTGGTGCTCATGGGGATTAGCTGGAAGTCCTTAGGTATTTTTTATATATATATATGCTGAAATTGTATGCTTATCAGGGATTGAATCTAGTGATCGTGTCCATTTGCGGCTGTGTGCCCTTGAAGAATATGGCGGTTCCAGCTTCCTGCAAATTACACAGGTCAGGATAAGAGGAACCGCCTCTCAGACATCTGGATCCATTCAGAAGAAGTTCAGAAGTGACGAAATGCGTCAGGGGACGTGACGTCTGATGTAATTGCGCAAAATCGGAAGTGGCGGTGCGGCCATTTTGTTGACTGGAAAAACGTGGTTTTTGATCCCTGGAAGCTGCTGTGTCTGGATCATGGGAATCTATCACTGAATATTGAAAGTCCCTAATGTAAAATGCTGCATTAAATTTTTTTTTTTTTTTTAAGTCCGCAAACGTGGAACTGTAACGAAAAAAATGTAAGTGTCGCAAAAAAGTGCATGCTGTGCAAAACACACACACGAAAAAACGTGCACTTAGGGGTGTGTTTGATCCCTAATGGTGTATGGACCGTTCAATCATCACTGACAGGGACAAGGTATTTGGTCCTCCTGGCCAAAAGGCCTGGTGGACCACCGTTTTATGCCCAGCCGAAGCCGGACATCCAGTAAAAGAGAAAACCCCCTGGGATCAGGGGAGGAAGGAACCGTGGCCATTAAGGCCCATTTTTAATACATATTACATCATGCTACATGGGTCTTTTCTATCTTTTATGAGGATGATGGTGAATTGAAGGCTTACCCTACATACAGTTATTGAGAGCTTGGAAGTGACTGTCATAACATCTGATTATCCCTTAAGGCTTGATATTACTCCATGAGGGTAATTGTGCGCATTCTTGCCATTTAGAGGTGGTCACGGAGTGTTTCACTTTATTTGTTTTAAATTTACTTTTGTTATTTATATCTTTATTTTTTTTTGTTTGGTTTGAGTGTACACGATTTGTCACTTTATATTAGTTTATTTTAGTGTACACAGAGTGATTTTGCATGATTCACGTGTTACTTACAGTTGAATCTATTTTATGAAAAATAATTTTTGCACAGATATTGTATATACTTATTTTGGTTTGAAAGGTGTATATACACATATTTTGAAGGTAATACACTATTTTAGTTTTATTTTCTCGAGGTAATCACTGGGTTTGGAATGCTGGAAATATTTAAGTTGGACATACAGCAGTGAGAAATTTTAGTGGACTTAAAAAATAAACTTTTTAGGACTTTATTTAATTTTATGGTTTAATTTATCTATTGAGTTAAGGTGAAGAAAAAGGTATTTGAATATTGGTATTTGCTTTCAAGGGTGAAAGTGTGACTTTTTCTTGGGTTTAAAGTGGAGTATTCACTATATGGGTATATTTAGGTAGGTTTTAGTTGCCGAGTGATTTATCTAATAATGCACCAAATTCAGTTTGTTCTAAAATGCTCCACGTTTACATTGTGTCACATTGAATACACCATTTCCACATTGTGTTGCATTGAATGTGCCAATTGTAAAAGTGGAGCTAATTAAGACCAACTCTCTTTTCGTGTACAGAGAGAAAAACTGGCTCAGACAGATTCTGTGAAAGTGTCTCTCATGCATTCTAATAGAAGAGCAGCATGAGCCAAAATCAAGTACAAGTTTTAGGTACATGAATTTGGTGCATTCTTCACCACTTTTAGAATGCATGAGAGACACTTTCCCAAATCTGTCTGCATCCATCTTTATGAACTCCAGGGTATATATTCTTTAGGACAGCACGAAAAAAAAAATCTCTCTTTCTCTCTCTATATATATTATATCTATTTATATATATATATATATATATATATATATATATATAGATATATATATATATATATAGATATAGATATAGATATATAGATATATACCTATATATATATATATAGAGATATATAGTAATTGCCTTTTGTATTTCCCAGTACTTAGAAGAGAAGGAGGTGTCAGAACTGCAGTGTACAGCCCTGAAGAAAGACTCCAAGATGTACAAAGATCGAATAGAAGCCATTCTACAACAGATGGATGAAGTGTGTATAGAGCGCAATATGGTATGTACCATCTTTTATTTAAAATCATTAATCTTTTAAAATTCTAAATAAATTTCAAATGTGTTTTTAGCTGTCTGCCTGTAGTTAAGATTTAAAGCCGCAATCCTATAACTGAAACCATTATACTTACCTAAACCTGTTTGTTTGATTTTATGTATACAGCTAGATTTTGTTTTATACATAGCTCTGTTATTTCATAAATTTTTTTTCCCCCACGTATCAGGCAATTGCAACACGGGAGGAATTCCATACACAGTATACCAAAGGTCTGAAGGATAAGGACGCTTTAAGGAAACAGCTCCGGGAACTAGGCGAGAAGTATGATGATCTGCAGATCCAGTTGATCAGAAGTGAGGGGAAACTGCTATCTCTGGAGACCAAGCTGAAGCGAACAGAGTCACCAGCGCTGGTACACAACACATAATACCTACATAATTTACCTTGGAATATCTGGATCAATCATCTGTAAGAGGTCCTCACTCCGCTAGAGGCCTACAGAAGAATGCCCTTCAACAGATTTTATTGTGAGGTTTAGGCTGCTTTCACACTGCTCCATTGCAAAAAAGCGGTAAAAACACATGCATTGTTCCTTGTTTGTTACTGCATTTCCGATGCGTTATGCACCTGTGAAAAAATAACACGTGACTCCAAAAACACACCAGTGGGTGAGTTTTTAATTCATTTCAATAGGGAAGTTCATTTTTGGTGCATTTCTTTACCGCAACAAAAATGCATAAAAAATGTAGTTTGCATGACTATTAAAAATGCAACTGACCCACAACGGACTGGTGTAAAGAGCTTTACCTACAGGTAAGCTTATAATAAAGCTTACCTGTAGGTATAATGAATATCTCCTACATGATACATGCACAGCGCTCTGAATTGAAAGTATACAGAGTATGTTGTCAATCCCGAGCACTGTGACTGTGTCTACCATGTGCATGTGTGGGAGTGACGTCATTCCGTCTCAGCCATTCAAATGACCAGAGCCCATGAACCCGGAAGGAAGACCGGGTGCAGATGGAAGCCCTGTCAGTGGTGACAGTGCGCCATTGGAGGGCTTTGTTTAAGGGTACCTTTATCATAATGTGCAAATATGTGGTACATACTAGCACATTATATCATTTACCTTGCAGGGGGACTTTTTTTTTTTTTTTAATTACCACTTTAATGGTCATGCATTTTTCTTCCACTTTTGGTAATGCAAAAATGGAAGAAAAACTGATCAGTGTGAAAGGGGCCTAATTTTGTAACTAAAATCTTTCCATATGCAGACCAACAGTGCCACTTGTAGGCTGTAAGCTGGTACTATACTACATGCAATTAAACATGAATATAATGTGCATAGCTTTGCTAGCATAAACACACAGTTGACTATAATCCATTACAGAGTAATTCCTTATATGTTTGGTAAAAACATATAAGGAATTTATTGCATATCGGTGCCTTCTATTGTTCTGTAAATATTGAGAGAGATATGTGCAACAGTAGCATGTAACAGAATTAAAGCAATAGCGGAACTCTTCAGAGTGAGTGTAAAGTGGAGAGTTCTGCCATTTATATAACCCCATGATCAGCAATAAGAAACACATTGCACATCCTTTTATATATACAGTCAGGTCCATAAATATAGCCATGTCTTTTTACAGTGATTTCCAGCGGCATCGACCAGGTATAGTATACAGTCAGGTCCATAAATATTGGGACATTGACACAATTCTAACATTTTTGGCTCTATACACCACCACAATGGATTTGAAATGAAACGAACAAGATGTGCTTTAACTGCAGACTGTTAGTTTTAATTTGAGGGTATTTACATCCAAATCAGGTGAACGGTGTAGGAATTACAACAGTTTGCATATGTGCCTCCCACTTGTTAAGGGACCAAAAGTAATGGGACAATTGGCTTCTCAGCTGTTCCATTGCCAGGTGTGTGTTATTCCCTCATTATCCCAATTACAATGAGCAGATAAAAGGTCCAGAGTTCATTTCAAGTGTGCTATTTGCATTTGGAATCTGTTGCTGTCTACTCTCAAGATGAGATCCAAAGAGCTGTCACTATCAGTGAAGCAAGCCATCATTAGGCTGAAAAAACAAAACAAACCCATCAGAGAGATAGCAAAAACATTAGGCGTGGCCAAAACAACTGTTTAGAACATTCCTAAAAAGAAGGAACGCACCGGTGAGCTCAGCAACACCAAAAGACCCGGAAGACCACAGAAAACAACTGTGGTGGATGACCGAAGAATTCTTTCCCTGGTGAAGAAAACACCCTTCACAACAGTTGGCCAGATCAAGAACACTCCCCAGGAGGTAGGTGTATGTGTGTCAAAGTCACCAATCAAGAGAAGACTTGAAGAAGTGAATACAGAGGGTTCACCACAAGATGGAAACCATTGGTGAGCCTCAAAAACAGGAAGGCCAGATTAGAGTTTGCCAAACGACATCTAAAAAAGCCTTCACAGTTCTGGAACAACATCCTATGGACAGATGAGACCAAGATCAACTTGTACCAGAGTGATGGGAAGAGAAGAGTATGGAGAAGGAAAGGAACTGCTCATGATCCTAAGCATACCACCTCATCAGTGAAGCATGGTGGTGGTAGTGTCATGGCGTGGGCATGTATGGCTGTCAATGGAACTGGTTCTCTTGTATTTATTGATGATGTGACTGCTGACAAAAGCAGCCGGATGAATTGTGAAGTGTTTTGGGCAATATTATCTGCTCATATTCAGCCAAATGCTTCACAACTCATTGCACGCCGCTTCACAGTGCAGATGGACAATGACCCAAAGCAGACTGCAAAAGCAGCCAAAGAGTTTATTAAGGGAAAGAAGTGGAATGTTATGCAATGGCCAAGTCAATCACCTGACCTGAATCCGATTGAGCATGCATTTCACTTGCTGAAGACAAAACTGAAGGGAAAATGCCCCAAGAACAAGCAGGAACTGAAGACGGTTGCAGTAGAGGCCTGGCAGAGCATCACTAGGGATGAAACCCAGCGTCTGGTGATGTCTATGCGTTCCACACTTCAGGCTGTAATTGACTGCAAAGAATTTGCAACCAAGTATTAAAAAGTGAAAGTTTGATTTATGATTATTATTCTGTCCCATTACTTTTGGTCCCTTAACATGTGGGAGGCACATATGCAAACTGTTGTAATTCCTACACCGTTCACCTGATTTGGATGTAAATACCCTCAAATTAAAGCTGACAGTCTGCAGTTAAAGCATATCTTGTTCGTTTCATTTCAAATCCATTGTGGTGGTGTATAGAGCCAAAAATGTTAGAATTGTGTTCGATGTCCCAATATTTATGGACCTGACTGTAGTTCACATATGAAACTCATAATGCAGTAAACATAACAAACATACTAGGAATGCCACATTCTTTGCAACAGGCTGGCTGTAATTTCATTACAGGTTCAATGTACATTTCTGAAAGAGGCTATGGCCAATTACAGGAGAAGGACAGGTGAGGATTCTGAGAAATCCTGTCTCCAAAGTGAAGATTGTTGCCATGGCTATAAGGAAGAAACATTTAAACTGGTTGCAAACCCTCACATATACAGTGAACTGACTGGCCTCCGGTAATGCACAGAGATTAAACAAATCATCCTACATAAATTGTACCTATTTATTTGCGGTGTCCTCTTCTCTAAATCTTTTCAAAGTCCAGATCTTATAAAACTTGTTAAAGAATTCAGAAAAAAGGGGACGGAGAGCTAAAAAAATTACACACTGCAGAGCTCAGTGAGGAGAGCTCCGAGAGCTGATTGGAGGGAAGGGACACCCCCGCCCCCTTCCATACAGCACACAGGAACAGAGCTGAGGCTAGCAATATGCTGGAGCTCCCTCCCTGCCACTATTTTTCTCTTGTTTGGGGTCTACTCACTAAGAGATAAATACTGCATTCATTTTTGAGTTAAAATAACTCGGGCGTTATTTATCTGAAAAACAGACACTACACTAAATAACATGCGTCGTTTACAGAATGTGTTAAATATTTATGTTTTGCGATAATTATTCAAATTTAGCGTTATTTTGGGGGGTTTTTTTAAAATTTTTTTTTTGCATGCAAACACTGCATCAGAGGAAGATAGTTCTGTAAATAAATGCAAAATTCTCCGCAAAATTAAGCATGGAAACATGGATGGATGGGGGAGTTTGCTTTGAATATTAACAATTAATTAAATGGTATTTTTGGTTTGTGGTGCTCAGATGCAGTGCAGTTCCACTTTAATGGCACCGTAAACAGTTTGTTTATTGAGCCAAGGAAGTACAGGCATCAGTAGCTACAAGGATCGCTGACAAGCCAATCTGTAGTTAGGAGCAAAATCAACATCCATCAATTTCCACAATCGAGCAATCATCTGGGTCCTCTGCATCAAAACTGCAGAACATTTCTGCAGTTTTTAATGTTTTTATTTGGCTTCTGCTGTTCTACTTTTTCCTGTGGGTACACTTCTGTTATTGGCCTAGTAAGGCTTTGAAGTGTATTTGTCTCTTTGATTTAAAAGAGATGCCCAAGCTGTTTTTGTTGATTAATATAGAAAGGTTCCCCATTATCAGATGCAATTTAATCAGCTTTGCCTCCCATGACCTAAGGCTCCCTACATACCATTACACTGTAGTAATGCACATTACAGGTGTTAGTGCATTGCAGTGAATGGCATCCCAATTTGGGTTGCCACCTCATCTCTTTGAAACTGAACACATAATAATTACACAGGTTCTGTGGTTGATAAATGTAGTAATTAACTTCACTTAATATTTTATCTGCATTACATTTGCCTGCTGTAATTAGTATGTGGTTGATTTTAAAGGGATGAGGTAACAACCCTAATCCCAATGCAAAGCGTGATACCACACTGCTGGGCATTGCACTGGATATAAAGATGCAGGTGCATTTATTTTGTCTTCTTTGGTACATCGACAGTCCACCTAACCACTCTTAGGTTTATATCAACATAATGGACAGATTAAATCCAGCCTAAGGGTTTATTTAAATTTTCCACAGCCTCTGAAAAGCAATATGTAGTGGATCATTTTTCATGTGACAAGCAGACAGGGTTTTTGAATGGGAATACCGCACTGCAACTACAGGCCTAGCCTTTGGTGAACAGTTGTGACGTGGCCTTTTTCACATTTTTGAGGTGGCAAAGCATTGTGGGTACAGCATGTGTACAGCTTCATCCAGGCTACCATGTTTATTCTAAGGTGGGTGGTCAAGCAGTAGTAAAACCATGGCTCAGTATCCTATTTTTACCACTCCCTCACCACATACACAAATGAGTCCTAGTTTTTAAAGGTAAACATGGCTGCCAGGTTCACTTTAAAGTTTAGGAACTTTGCTTAAGTTGTAGCTCTATTAATGCACTTTTGCAACAATGCAAATGAGTACAGTCCATGATATTTTTTTTATTTTCTCTACTAGCTATATTTTCAGGACAGCCTACTTTTTTTGTTATCTTGCAAATTTCTTCTTAACATTCTACTAAAACCATTGTTAATTATACTTAGCCTGCTTAGCCTTAGACCCTGAAAGAAGGGCAGACCCTGAAAGCTTGTCCTGAAAATGCTGTTAGTGCAAAAAAAAAAAAAAAACAGTATCAAACGTATCAGGGACAGCACTCAACTATGTTAAGAACTTTGAGAATTCATTATAATCATAGTATCCATCTTTGTGGAACCAGTTCCTCAAGGCTCACAGCCCAAGACTAAAAAATCAGGAGGATATTGCCTATCTGTAAGCAGGAAACAGACCGCCCACTTACATTCCATACTGGCAGGGCTCAAAAACATCTTCCAGATTTACAGTATGGCTGTAATCATGATGATTTAACTGGAAACTCTGCATTTCTTCTTCATGGGTCACTCTGCATCAGTGAACCCAAATTGGGTTGCTTTCTCCTCTTGCTATGGAGTGATCACAACTAGATGTAGATTTATAACTACATAGTTTCTAGCCTTTTCTGTAGTTCAGCATCCACAACCTGGCAGAGGACAGTATGACACTGCTCCTTTATTACTCAAATTACTCTTCACAAGTGAACAACAAACCCATGATGTTCCATCTGCTTCACAATTTGCATCCATTGGTTACCCCCTTTCTTACTGGCACATTTACAAGATCTTTTCTGGTGATATTTAATAGGGTGAAGTCCAAAAATAGAGAACTTTACTGACAAACATGTAGTCTTTCAACAAATGAGGAAGTCAAACAGACTTCTTCTTTAATGACGACAGATTTCTTTTTTCTGTCCCAATCCCCAGTGCATTCTCTTGTTCAATCTCCATCTCCTATATTGATTAGTCACAATCACAGCACCATACGTGGAGACATTATTTGTGTCTCCACCAGAAGCATCAACAAAACTCCCAGGGGAGCGCGATCAAAGGCAGAATCTGACCTGTATTGTGGAGTATATCTCAATACACTCAGACAGTGGTGTATTTAGGTTTCGTGCTGCCCTAGGCAACACAAAAATTGTCTCCTCCCCCCGCACGGAGAGACACTGACAAACAGCACCTCACCCAAGGGAGCCTTCCACTACCACTGCCCCCCATACACTGGCAACCCCTCACCCCACCCTGGAAAGAGAGAAGACACTCACCTTCACAGCTCCAGACATCCCCGGGAACAAGAGTCAGGCTCTTCATACACTATTAAGCAGCCCCTCTCATTTCCACCTGGTCCCCATGCTGCGTGTGTCCTTTCTTCCATCCCTTCTTTCAGGGGGGGGCGCTGTCCCCCAGAAAAATGCATCTGCCCCACCAGAAAAATGTAGCTGCCCCCTGAAAAAATGCAGCCCTAGGCAAATGCCTTGTTTGCATTGTGATAAATACGCCCCTGCATTCAGAGCAGAATGCTATTACTTCTAGCTACGTGTATCCTCAGCCTGAGACCAACTAACAAATATCAGATACAAAACTGTATTTCCTTCTTCAATCCTTTTTGCTTGATTGTAGCAAAACCTCACCCTGTTAACTGAGAGAGAGCAGCTATTGCTTTGGACTCCCTGAAGGAGAATAGCTGTATCTGCTATCCAGAGGTGTAACTAGAACCTTCAGGGCCCTTGTGCAAGAAACTATGAAGGGCCACCCTGACACCTCCTAAGCAAATAAGTCACAAAATAATTTGAAATGTGCCTGCATACTAATATGGCAATCACATGGGCAGGTACTTAGGATTACAGGAAAAGGACTTCTACCTCTTCTTCACTGACTTTAAGGGTTCTGATTCAGTGACTCTGAAAGTATGAAAGCCAGAATCAGCATTATACCCAGGGGACTAGCAATCTGTGTTCAGCAATGGCATATTTTTTCTCATGACAAGTTTACTAGAAGCTATTAGGTAGTTTGCCTTAACAATCCACTTAAAACTAAAGGAAACTATAAGATAGATTTTGGGTGAAGTTTGTACTTTCACTTTGGAATGTAGATGAAACACACAGTATGCAGCCCCGGGCTTCGTATTACTGTGGAAGGCCAGAGCGGGTTGTGCACCATGAGGGACTAGCACCTGGATCAAAGAGGAAGCTGGCAGAATGATATTTTATTTATTTCAGGTACTTATATAGCGCCATTAATTTACTCAGCGCTTTACATATATATTGGACATTCACATCAGTCCCTAACCCTCAAGGGGCGTACAATATAAGGTCCCTAACTCACATTCATATACTAGGGACAATTTAGTCAGGAACCAATTAACCTACCAGCATGTCTTTGGAGTGTGGGAGGAAACTTGAGTACCCGGAGGAAACCCATGCAGGCACAGGGAGAACATGATGTGCAGGAGCCTTTTAACAGCACCATATTTTCCATGCAATCTATATAAACTGTATCATACTATCATCCAGGCTATCACGTGCTTGATGGATGAGTTAAAGAAACCAACTCAGAGGAGCATTTTCTGCAAATGTTAAATGGGTATTCTCTGCCTTGTCATTCATACAGTAGTTTATGAATGGCCAAGAAGATATTTCCCAGAATTCTCTGGCTACTTTGCTTTATCAGCAGCTGGCAGCCTCGAGGGTACAATATTCTGTAGCTATTTGCAAAGCATTCCTAGGTAATGGGTCACAGAAAGTGTGAAACGCCTATTGCACTGGATAACAGGTGATAACATGCCTTTTTGTCTTTTTTGCAGTCCTCTGATGCAGATGAATGTTCATCTCGAAGTTCTTTAGAAGTAAGTTGACACTTTCTGCGGATTTCCTTATTTGCACCCCCCAACTATCTAAAAAGAGAAGTCGCAGTAGCTTCCTTTGTCCTCTCTTACACTGTATTAAGTGGTATATCTTATTTAAAAATCATCAATAGATTATCATTTATAATAAAAATGTATTTCAGAATTCTGAATCATAGGATTTCTCTGAAACGTTTTGTGTTCCAGCTTCTCCTCTCCTTATTATAAAATAAATAAAAAAAAGATCACGCAGCTATAGTGGGAGTCCCTCATAAACAACAGCAGCAGGTGTGCAGACCCAGAAACTCAGCATCGAAAGTGAAGAGATTGAAAAAACCTCCCCAGGGGGGTTTCACCTGCAAATATCCATCAAACACCGAATTATCATTAAAGTTTAGGGTGAAATTACCCTTTGTTAAAATTATTGTTTTATTACACAGTGCAGGTGGAATTTTGCTTTTTGCTGACTTTTTCTTTTTTTTCTCTCTTGAAGATAACTACTTTGATCAGTGTACCTGAGAACAAGACACAACATGATAGTAAGTTGTGTACTAAACTGCAAGTAAACATTTTGAGAAATTGAAATTAAAGAAAAATTTCAGTTATGGATATTTTATACAGCTTGGACCAATGTAACTATGCATATATCATACCTGGCTGATGCCCCTGGGAGCTGGAATCACTGAAGTAGATACGCCAGTCATCTCCACTTGTTTCATTATTCATCACCATCCCTCCTCTTCACCTTATTCAATCAGAAAATGTTTTGCATTCATTCAGAAAATGTAAGGCATTCTCTGAATGGCACCCATGCTGAGTGGCTGACCTCCAGTGCTCAGAATGTAGCAGGGCAGCTGAATAGGGCCCATAATAAGTGGTGATGACTGGAATAGCCATGTCTTTTTACAGTGATTTCCAGCGGCATCGACCAGGTATAGTATACAGTCAGGTCCATAAATATTGGGACATTGACACAATTCTAACATTTTTGGCTCTATACACCACCACAATGGATTTGAAATGAAACGAACAAGATGTGCTTTAACTGCAGACTGTTAGTTTTAATTTGAGGGTATTTACATCCAAATCAGGTGAACGGTGTAGGAATTACAACAGTTTGCATATGTGCCTCCCACTTGTTAAGGGACCAAAAGTAATGGGACAGAATAATAATCATAAATCAAACTTTCACTTTTTAATACTTGGTTGCAAATCCTTTGCAGTCAATTACGGCCTGAAGTCTGGAATGCATAGACATCACCAGGCGCTGGGTTTCATCCCTGCTGATGCTCTGCCAGGCCTCTACTGCAACTGTCTTCAGTTCCTGCTTGTTCTTGGGGCATTTTCCCTTCAGTTTTGTGTTCAGCAAGTGAAATGCGTGCTCAATCGGATTCAGGTCAGGTGATTGACTTGGCCATTGCATAACATTCCACTTCTTTCCCTTAAAAAACTCTGGTTGCTTTTGCAGTATGCTTTGGGTCATTGTCCATCTGCACTGTGAAGCGGCGTCCAATGAGTTCTGAAGCATTTGGCTGAATATGAGCAGATAATATTGCCCGAAACACTTCAGAATTCATCCTGCTGCTTTTGTCAGCAGTCACATCATCAATAAATACAAGAGAACCAGTTCCATTGGCAGCCATACATGCCAACGCCATGACACTATCACCACCATGCTTCACTGATGGGGTGGTATGCTTAGGATCATGAGCAGTTCCTTTCCTTCTCCATACTCTTCTCTTCCCATCACTCTGGTACAAGTTGATCTTGGTCTCATCTGTCCATAGGATGTTGTTCCAGAACTGTGAAGGCTTTTTTAGATGTCGTTTGGCAAACTCTAATCTGGCCTTCCTGTTTTTGAGGCTCACCAATGGTTTCCATCTTGTGGTGAACCCTCTGTATTCACTTCTTCAAGTCTTCTCTTGATTGTTGACTTTGACACACATACACCTACCTCCTGGAGAGTGTTCTTGATCTGGCCAACTGTTGTGAAGGGTGTTTTCTTCACCAGGGAAAGAATTCTTCGGTCATCCACCGCAGTTGTTTTCCGTGGTCTTCCGGGTCTTTTGGTGTTGCTGAGCTCACCGGTGCGTTCCTTCTTTTTAAGAATGTTCAAAAAAGTTGTTTTGGCCACGCCTAATGTTTTTGATATCTCTCTGATGGGTTTGTTTTGTTTTTTTTTCAGCCTAATGATGACTTGCTTCACTTAACAAGTGGGAGGCACATATGCATACTGTTGTAATTCCTACACCGTTCACCTGATTTGGATGTAAATACCCTCAAATTAAAGCTGACAGTCTTCAGTTAAAGCACATCTTGTTCATTTAATTTCAAATACATTGTGGTGGTGTATAGAGCCAAAAATGTTAGAATTGTGTCGATGTCCCAATATTTATGGACCTGACTGTATGCGTAACTACATTGGTCCCTGCTGGACCAACGTGACTATGTATAAAATATCCATACCCGGAATTGTCTTTTGGTGTGTAACACTTAATTCATAGCTCTGAAAAATGTTAATCGCTTGCCATGGTTTCTTTCATTCCTACTTAAGAGGGTTCTCCATCTTCAGTGGCATAAAAGCAGACCCCCAACTTCTAATTATCGTACTGTTATTAATTCTGTTAAGTCAGATTTGTGATTTACATACACTCACCAGCCACTTTATTAGGTACACCTGTTCAATTCCTTGGTAACACAAATTGCTAAAAGCCAATCACATAGCAGCAACTCAATGCATTTAGGCATTTAGACGTGGTGAAGACGATTTGCTGAAGTTCAAACCAAGCATCAGAATGGGGAAGAAAGGGGATTTAAGTGACTTTGAACGTGGCATGGTTGTTGGTGCCAGACGGGCTAGTCTGAGTATTACAAAAACTGCTGATCTACTGGGATTTTCAAGCAACCATTTCTAGTATTTACAGAAAATTATCTGAAAAAGAGAAAATATCCAGTGTGTTGTGTGGATGAAAATGCCTTGTTGATGTCAGTGGTCAGAGGAGAATGGACAGACTGGTTCGAGATGATAGAAAGGCAACAGTAACTCATGTCAATATGGACCAAAATCTCTGAGGAATGTTTCCAGCACCTTGTTGAATCTATGTCATTAAGAATAAAGGCAGTTCTGAAAACAAAAGGGGGTCCAACCTGGTACTAGCAAGGTGTACCTAATAAAGTGCCTGGAGAACGTATGTCTGCCACACTGAATAGCCAGGCAGGTCACTTCTATTTCCACATACAGCTTTAGAGCTCCTGTATCACCTCTCACTTTTCATTTGTCCAATGAATAAAGAGTTGACCACAAAAACAGTAAAGAGGGACCAATAAGCTGCAGAATGATCTATGCAGTTTGGCAAAGACATGTAAATCTTAGGATTAGCTGAACAGAGTTACAAATCAGATAAACATGCATACACTGTTTGCACAATTATTAGGTAAGTTGAATTTTTGGAGATTAATTTCATTATTGAACAACTACAGTGCTCTCGGTCAATCCAAAATGTTAATAAACCTCAAAACTGAATATTTAAGAAAGTAAAAGTGAAGTTTTTGCTTTCTTAGGAGAATATCTATGTGTGCACAATTATTATGTAACTAAATGAAAAACAAACGTTTTCCCATCTCACTTGTTTATTTTCATCAGGACACCATCCGTCATCTCATTAAGAGCATGCCCCAATGTTGTCAGGCATACAAGCACTTGGGGGGCCATACAAACTACTGAGTGCCATTAGGAGCATGCCCCGACGTGCATACAAACACATGGGGGCCATACAAACTACTGAGTGCCATTTTGAGTTGCTGCAATGACATTTCAGCAAAATGGACTAGCCTGCCAGTTGATTTTTGGGGTGTCTTTGAATTCAGTCCTCCTGTAGGTTGATAATTTTCATTTCTATCAAATGATGGGAAATCCTTATGTTTCTTACATAATACCCATATCAGTATAGACATCTAGCATGATATTTTCTTTGTATCTGAAAGACTATAGAGTAGAGAGGGTTGCAGATAAACAAAGTACAGAACTTACACAGCAAATTGCACAGCACAGAGCTGAGTGTAATCGGAGATCCGAGTGGAGGGATTGAACACGCCCACTCTACACAGTCTCATTGGGAGACATGCACATCTGAGACTGTCAATCGCCTGCTATGTGCTGGGAAAAGGAGGGGGGGTGCAGTTGTTGTCCGCATACGCTGTCAGAAGTGACAAAGGAATGAGAGAGGAGATGGAAATCACACCAGGTGCTTTGCATAGTGGCAAGTACACACTATAGAAGAATATGCTTTGTTCTTTTTTCTTTTCAGAGATTTACAACCACTTTAAAGGGCCAGTAAACCCAAATCACAATCTGTCCTAGATAAACTCAACATGTTTTCGAACTGATAAACTATAATTTCCCACATTATGTAAAGTCTGACTTTTTTTTTGTCCTGTCTGCACAGAGGATCAACCAAGACCATTAGAAAATGGAAGTGATCATGGGGAAACACCCAAGACAGAGGAAAATGTAAGAAGCCATTTTTTTTCAGCCACAAAACTGACACATTTGCACTCTTTTTAGCCTGGCACATTTCAGAGAGTGAAGTAAATTTGTCTATATGAAAATCCAAATAAAAAACATTTATTAATAAATGTTAATATCAGTGTATATATGTAAGTTCCATGTCTGTTTTTTTGGATCTTGAAGTTGTAGAAAAAAAAAATCTGTCTCTGTCCCAGGTTCCAGCTCGAAGAAGCTCTAAATTCTACTTGACATGTCTAACACAAAATGGTGGTGTCATAACCACACCCAAGTTTATTTTCATGTCAGATAAAATGCTGTCACTAGTTAATTCTATTATCTGCTGTCCTATTCAACTTTACACACAATGAATTTAGAACTATCAATAAGAGGTACGTTTTGTGTAGAAATGCTGCAGGAAAAAAAATACTTTTACAAACGTGCTGAATATTTTAGGTATTCATTGTAATTCAATACTTTTGTTGAGTAAACAATATTCCCCTTTGGGTGATCTATGCACATTGCAAGGATTTTAACAAACTTTGCTGCAGATTCCTACCTTTTGTTATTCTGAAGAAAGTGCTGTTTGTTTGTGTCCATGTGGAAAGTGAACCTAATGGGAGTGGTTTTATAATTGTCAATCATCTACTGCACCGCTCTGAGGAATATTGGCAGGGTCTGCATCCCTTTACACATGATTTCCTATTGGGAGTATCTCACCAAAAATGAAATTTTTGTTGCAGGGGATGCCTGAAATATGACTTGTATCTTAGTGCAGACTTCTGAGAAAATCAGTAAGCCAATCACTCAAGCAAGAAATTATGTTTCTGGGGGCGGTTCTGTACACCATCTGTGTACGGAACGCCTCCAGGTAGTCATATTGCATTGCATTTTACAGAAAATTACAGCTCTGCAGATTGAATAGGAAAGTTAATTTTTTATAACATTCAATTACAATATGGTTTGTGTTGCAATTGTCTTCGCTATATTATTTTTTTATTTGCTATTTTTTTTCCCACAAAAGTGGAGTTACCCTTTAAAGATGAATATAACAGTTGCATGTCAAACTGGAAAATATAATATGCAACTATGTACCAGGTACATGATCTAACTGCCCAGTGTCCTAGTTTTTGTATCCTGATGTTGAAGAACACAATACCACCCTGCATTGACTGTAGATATCCTGATGATCTTGGAACACACAGTGCTGAGTGAGCATTTGTTTCTGCAGGCCAGGAATTCTCAGCCTCACCCTCTGTCATCTGCAGCATAGCTACATGCATGCATACTGTATGCAGTGCACACCCCTAACAAATATATAAAAAACAATGTAATTACACCTTGGTGCACTCCACATGCAGCCTACAAGTGTTGTTGACCTAAAAGAAGGAAGGAAGCTGCACAGCACAGGGGTTGCAGGACTACTGAAAGCCTTTCTCAATCTGCCTGACTTTGACAGTCTCCCAGTTGCCTTTTTATCATGCAGTGTTAGGCATTCACTGACAGTATTTGCTATCTGGATCTGTTAGTTAATTCTTTTGAACATGCAAGTGAGAACATAAAACAAATATTTGTACTTTTCACTTCTGTGAGGCTTATGACATGTGCATGATGCTGTTCCTGTTGATCCTATTCTGCACCTGGAGACAGGATCTCTAACTGACCACTTATGTGTTTCTCTTGAGTCGCTCCTTGCTAGCTGTAGAGACGAAGATTTGCCAATGGGGCAGCAAGGGAGCGATTCCATAAAAGCAGGTGGAAGCCTCTTCAGGTGATTTTTGTTGCTGTGTTACCAGCAGCAAAACTACCCTTGTGACATCAGCCTGACTGACGGAACAGGAATTCTGACTGTTCTGTTTACATGAAACACTGCACATACATACTTAAAAAGTTTTAAGTACCTAATTATAACTTCTATAGCTGTCCATACATAGCTTGACCACTTTATAGTATGCCAGTCCAGTATACCACCCCATTGAGAAAAGATTTATGGCTGTTCTATGAATTAAAAAATAGACTTCCAACCTTTGACAGGTCGGTGTGGCTACGGCAGAGATTTAGCCTTTTTTCCTGTAGTGGTGAAATGCAGCACTTGTTTTCCCCTCTCTTCACTACATTCTTTTGAAAAGCCACTGGAAGTCAATGTGATTGCATCACTGGGCTATATGAAGGATGCAAGAAAAGTTATGACGGGAGCTTAATGTTGCGTCTTAGGCAATGTCCGTGATGATGTCCATTGCTGATCTCCTCTCTGTGCAGGAACACAGTCCAGTGAATGGTGAACCGCTATTTAAAGCCAGGAGGAAGATTAGGAGCTTTGAAGATAATCGCAGGTAATGTGCAAGGCTGTTTGGTTTGGAATAAGTTATTCAATATAATTTATATTTCTCTGAAAGTTTTACTAAATATGTTGAATATATCTGCATTAGGGTGCATATGCGCTTGCAAATGCACCCTGTCTGTGATCAGTTAGGAGAACTCCAGGGGGGGTTCCTGCAATTAGCCGCTTTGAATGGGGCTGCATACTCACAGCTAATTGCGAGAATCCTCTCTGGTGTTCTCACAGCTCATCGCAGACAGGGTTAATTCGCAACTGTGAGTGCAGCCCTGAAACTTGAAGGGCAGTGCCATCCAAAAAGCTATACATGTGTTGTAAAAACATTACATTAAGTGTTTTACTTGTCAGAAAACGCGTGGATTGAGCTATAGCAGACAATGCAACTGCTTTGGGACCCAGGAGCTCAAAGCAAATTTATGAAGTTACCAGTATCATTCGGCAGATACATTTGGGTAAAATTAATATAGGAGGGCTTTTCGAAAAGCGGGCATAACATTTTTATTAACTTACAGAGTTTCAGATTCCAAATGTTGGTAGAGTAAATCTTCCACTATAGTAACTATTCTTTTGCATTGCAGGTAAACGATGGATTCCAGGCAGAAGCAATATGCAGTCATTGAGTTCTTGACAAAGGAGGGGTGCAGGTTGTCTGACATCCATGGAATGCTACAGAATGTTTATGGCGATGACACCATTGACAATAGTCCCCAATGTCAAGACATTGCTGTTTTCAATGGTGTAATCTCCATAAACATTCTGTAACCTTCTGTGGATATCGGACAGCCTGCACCCCTCTTTTGTTAAGAACTCAAAAAAAGCATATTGCTTCTGCTTGGAATCTATTATTTACCTTCAATGAAAATGAAGAAGAGGACCTACTATGGAGGAATAATTTTTCTACCAACATGTGAAATTTGAATGACCTATTTAGGCTAATATTTATTTATTTATTTCAGGTACTTATATAGCGCCATCCATTTACACAGCGCTTTACATATATATTGTACATTCACATCAGTCCCTAACCCTCAAGGGGTGTACAATCTAAGGTCCCTAACTCACATTCATACATACACATACTAGGGCCAATTTAGACAGGATCCAATTCACCTACCAGCATGTCTTTGGAGTGTGGGAGGAAACAAGAGTACCCGGAGGAAACCCACACAGGCATCGGAAAAACATGCAAACTCCAGGCAAATATAAAAATGATTCCCACTTTTGCAGTACTTTCTGTATACTCGCCCTTGTATATACAGGTGAAACTCGAAAAATTAGAATATCGTACAAAAGTTAATTTATTTCAGTAATGCAACTTAAAAGGTGAAACTAATATATGAGATAGACTCATTACATGCAAAGCAAGATAGTTCAAGCCGTGATTTGTCATAATTGTGATGATTATGGCTTACAGCTCATGAAAACCCCAAATCCACAATCTCAGAAAATTAGAATATTGTGAAAAGGTGCAATATTCTAGGCTCAAAGTGTCCCACTCTAATCGGCTAATTAAGCCATAACACCCGCAAAGGGTTCCTGAGCCTTTAAATGGTCTCTCAGTCTGGTTCAGTAGGAATCACAATCATGGGAAAGACTGCTGACCTGACAGTTGTGCAGAAAACCATCGTTGACACCCTCCATAAGGAGGGAAAGCCTCAAAAGGTAATTGCAAAAGAGGTTGGATGTTCCCAAAGTGTTGTATCAAAGCACATTAATAGAAAGTTACGTGGAAGGGAAAAGTGTAGAAGAAAAAGGTGCACAAGCAGCAGGGATGACCGCAGCCTGGAGAGGATTGTCAGAAAAAGGCCATTCAAAAGTGTTGGGGACTTTCACAAGGAGTGGACTAAGGCTGGAGTCAGTGCATCAAGAGCCACCACACACAGATGGATCCTGGACATGGGTTTCAAATGTCGTATTCCTCTTGTCAAGCCGCTCCTGAACAACAAACAACGTCAGAAGCGTCTTACCTGGGCTAAAGAAAAACAGAGCTGGTCTTTTGCTCAGTGGTCCAAAGTCCTCTTTTCTGATGAGAGCAACTTTTGCATCTCATTTGGAAACCAAGGACCCAGAGTATGGAGGAAGAATAGAGAGGCACACACTGCAAGATGCTTGAAGTCCAGTGTGAAGTTTCCACAGTCTGTGTTGATTTGGGGAGCCATGTCATCTGCTGGTGTTGGTCCACTGTGCTTCATTAAGTCCAGGGTCAATGCAGCCGTCTACCAGGAGATTTTGGAGCACTTCACGTTTCCTTCCACAGATGAGCTTTATGGGGATGCTGACTTCATTTTCCAGCAGGACTTGGCACCTGCCCACACTGCCAAAAGCACCAAAACCTGGTTCAATGACCGTGGGATTACTGTGCTTGATTGGCCAGCAAACTCGCCTGACCTGAACCCCATAGAGAATCTATAGGGCATTGCCAAGAGAAAGATGAGAGACATGAGACTGAACAATGCAGAAGAGCTGAAGGCCGCTATTGAAGCATCCTGGTCTTCCATAACGCCTCAGCATTGCCACAGGCTGATAGCTTCCATGCCACGCCGCATTGAGGCAGTAATTGCTGCAAAAGGGGCCCATACCAAGTACTGAGTACATATGCATGCTTATACTTTTCAGAGGTCCAATATTGTTCTATGTACAATCCTTGTTTTCTTGATTGAATGTAATATTCTAATTTTCTGAGATTGTGGATTTGGGGTTTTCATGAGCTATAAGCCATAATCATCACAATTATGACAAATCACAGCTTGAACTATCTTGCTTTGCATGTAATGAGTCTATTTCATATATTAGTTTCACCTTTTAAGTTGCATTACTGAATTAAATGAACTTTTGCACAATATTCAAATTTTTCAAGTTTCACCTGTATATTAAAAGTAAAGAGGACTTGCTTTTCTGCAGGGAATAAGGTCTCTTGCACAGTGAGTGTCAAAAAGAATACTGTATTTTAAAAATAGTTTTGTTTTTTTATTCTTCCTCTAAACGGCCCTCTGTTAGCATGTGTGTCTTTACACACATAGGCATTTAGAAGCAGGGGCGTTTAGAATAAAAACCCAGTGCCAGCACGTTCAGGAGAGGAGCGTTTTGCAGCAAAAACAGCCCGGCTTGCCTAAATGCACGCTGAAGCACTAGGTGTGTTTAGCACTTGAGTTTTATTCATTCCAATGGCCAGAATAAATAAATGCATATTAGATGCATAGAAGATCACCAAAAAAACTTAAAGGGGGGAGGGTTACTGTTTCAAATGAAGACATAATTTGGTATTTCCTGGTTCAAATTTATTGCTGCCTGGATCATATTCCTGCTGATTGGGCAATGATGGTAAAGATGCTGATTTATTGTCCAATGAGCAGGCTGGTAGGCAGACAGACACATAAGGCTGCATTGCTAAGCCAGTAAATAAGTGAGTCACCTGCCTGACTGTACAGCAGCAGATAAGTATATCCCAAGACTGGCCAAACAGAATTTCAAATCTCTGGGCAGTAAAGTCTGTAGACATATTTCATCCATGTTTATTGCTGGCTGTTTAGAGCTAGATGCTCTTTCTTCTGTTTGAAAAATGCTGTGGGAACATAAGAATCTACTTTGAAGTGTAAGTAAACCCTAACAATTAACTTCCTTTTTTGCTACCTTTTGGTCTGATATAAATACCATTGGGTGTATTGTGTTATATTGGTTTGATGAATGCAAATAAATCTGTAGATCTTGTCAGAAATCTACAACTATCCTGTGTCTTGTGCATACATCCTGTGTTATCCATATCTGTTACTGTTCTGCTTTGCGTTATTGAACTGTTGTATAACACTAGTCAGACAGTCTAACAATAATTCAGAAGTCAAGAAATGTGAGACATCAGATCTGTATGTATTCTTTGTTCTGAATAACTTTGTAAAACTACAACATAAGCACAAACAAAACATATGTGTCAGTACATTAAACATTATACAACAGCTTCATCCCATCAGTGAGTGTACTCACGGACAATTCCACCATAAGTCCAGGAATAGCTCAGAGCTCCACTGTATGCTACTTGCTAGATCCAGAAGCAGTCACGAATTGGAGGATAGGAAGTTCCAGGTTAAAGGTCACTGTCTCTATGTGAAAATTACCACTTCCTATCAAGACCTGATATAACTAGGCATAATAATAACTCTGACCAATAGATGGCAGCAACATCACATAACATTGCAGTATATTACATACATTATTTTCAACAATATGAGCAGAACAGTTATAGTCTATTAAAACTAATTATTTTGGACTATAGATTTAGTCTTTATGTTGTAGATATCCGCTCCCAGCACAAAGACCGCAGTGTCACTGAGAGCTCCGGATCCCGTTCTAATGATCGGGACCCCGAACTACCGATTCCGAGTCACATGATCGCTGTGATAGCCTCTGATTGGCTATCACAGTGATCAGTCACTGTACAGCCCGGCCCCCTTGTGTTTTTTTTCTCTCTATGAATGGAGCAGAGAGATACATTGTAACTCCTGGCAGAGGGAAAAAAATAGTTTGTAAGAAAAAAAAAAGATAAATATTAAAAAATAGAAGAAAAAAAAAAAAGAAAAAAATACCTAGATCAAAGTACAGTGCCAGGGTAAGTGTTTGGGTCAGGGTCAAAGGTCAGGGTCAAAGGTCAGGATGAAAAAAAATTGATGTCAGTGTGTTATACATAAAAAAAACAACAAAATGTGCACTATTGTTTCTGGGCTGTATTAACCACTTGAGCCCCAGCCACTGCATTAAAACGTTTGCAGGGCAGGGCTGCGCAAAACCACGTTTTAAAACGCGGTTTTGCAAAACAGGTAGGGGGCGCGCCCGCCCTACTTGTCCCGTGGGTGTCAGCAGCGGGTCTCAGCCGCCGGGTCACGGCTGGTCATTACCGGCCGTTTCCCAGCGATTAGCGGCAATCGCTGACAGAGAGCAGGGCTGCATTGTTTACACACAGCCCTGCTCTCTGTCAGTTGCCTGTCAGCTCCTGACAAGCTGAACAGGAGAGAAGAGTTTATCTTTCCGGATCAGCCTGTCCCCATCTAGCACACACACCCGCCCCTAGTAAAACACTCCCCTCACACAGTTAACCCTTTCAGTGAATAAAAATGTTAACTCCTTCCTCCCCTGTGCCATTAGTACAGTGTCAGTGGGTTTTTGTTTCACTGATCACTGTATTGGTGTTACTGGGGATGTCAGTGACCCCAAGTCAGTTCCCCCCCCAGTGTCAAAATGTCCACCGCAGTCCCGCAGTCCTGCCATTCGCTAATCATAAGTCGCTGATCGCCGCCATTATTAGTATAAAAAAAAAAAATTAAAATCCCAGTATCTTTCCCGCCATTTGTAAACGCTATAACTTTCATGTAAACACATATTGGGGTTATTTTAGCAAAGACATGTCGCAGAATGTATTTTGGACAAAATTTGTGACAAAATTAAATTTTTTTATTTTTTTACTGGACATGTTTTATCGCAAAAAGTCCAAAATATTGTTTTTTTTTTCCGCAAAATTGTCAGCCTTTTTTTTTATAGTGCAAAAAATTAAAAAAGCACAGGTGATCAAATACCACCAAAAGAAAGCTCAATTTGTGGGAAAAAAAGGATGTAAATTTAATTTGGGTGCAGTGTTGCATGACCGCGCAATTGTCAGTTAAAGTAACGCAGCGCTGTAACACAACCCTCTTCTGTAACTGCTTCCTGACCACCCTACAGCAGAAATACTGCTACAGGGCGGCATGGGTACGCAAAATCACATATATATATATATATATATATATATATATATACCTGATTCGCACTCCCGTGGTTTTCACACCCCTCTCAGCGTCAGATTGCCCGTCAGTACACCAGTCATCACATTTAACCCCTTGATTGCCAGGAACACGCTCATGTACAATAATCCTCCATTGCTAGTATAGCATCTGAACTGGTCAATATCTTTGATCAGGTCAGCACTATACCAGCGTTCACATTAATATAGCGTCCCCAAAAATGCAGCGTTAGCGGGATCAGCCCCGGCACCTGCCAGCACCTGCGTTTAGCCCCTACGCTTACCCCCCCCTTCTCCCCCAGCAAGTGCAGTGTCAGTAGGTCACTGTCACTTGATACATTGCACACAACACCGCAGTGTTCATAGAATCAGGCCTGATCTCTGTTAGCACTTGCCGGTAAATTTTGATGACTCTCATATGCAGCAGAGTGCCAGTACTAGTGCCGCTCTACCTTTTGGTGAACTGGCGAGTACCAGCGGTCTAGTACATCCTGGTCTTTCACATACCTCCTTGATTTTTGGAGCTGTTTTTCACGGAATATCTGTATGCGTTGATTGTGGATCAAAGCAATTTATATGCACAACAATTTATCACCGCCAACGCAAATTCAAACCTTGCCAGACCATTCGCAAGGAAAGTCATTACGGTTTTCAAATTTACATTTTTTGGGGGCCTAACCCTCAACAAGGGCATTACTAAAAGAAATGAATTGCGGTTGTGTTGGTCCGCAGACCCGATTCATCATATGCCCGTGTTCTCTGCTGCCATGGCCAGGCATAGATATGAGAGTATAATGCGTTTTATGCATTTCAGCGACAATACACTCTGTCATCCTCGGGGTAACCCTGAATTTGACAGGCTCCACAAAATTCAGCCCCTCGCAAATCACCTTAACCTAAAATTTGCAGATGTCTATACTCCCCAGCAAAACATCTGCGTTGAGGAGTCCCTCATTAATTTTCTGGCCGCCTTGCATTCAAACAATTTCTCCCTGCAAGCGTGCCAGATATTGGGGTCAAGATGTAGAAGACCTGTGAGTGGACACCAGGCTATACTTATAAGTTTCGGATTTACGAGGGAAAAGATAGTCACGTGGAGCCCCCCCGGATGCCCAGACTACATGGGGAGCAGTGGCAAGATAGTTTGGGACTTGGTGTCATCATTTCTCCATACGGGGTACCACTTATACGTGGACAATTTTTATTCAAGCGTGCCACTATTTAGACATTTATTCAGTCTTGGAACTGGCACTTGTGGCAGAGATTTCTTCTAATTTTTTCATTCATTCCACAGGCTGCATACAAAAAAAAAAAAGAACATAGCATATATAACCAACAAGGACCAGCGATGTACTGGTACATCACTGGATTTGAATGGTTATACCAGGATGATGCCTACAGCTGCAGGCATCATCCTGGTGTCGTTTTTTTTCAGCCATTGATCGGCTTTCATGTAAAAGCAATCCTAGTGGCTAATTAGCTGCAAGATTGCTTTTACAAGCAGTGGGAGATGATGTCCCTTCTCCCCCGCTGCCTTCCACAGCCTTCTTGGGCAGTCCCGTGCCATCAGGGGAACCTGAGAATGCAGCCGGTGTTTCTGCCAGCTGACCATAGAGCTGATTGGAGACCAGAATGGTGCCAATCATCTCTATAGTCTAAAAATTCGGAAGCTACAAGCATTTTATCACTTCAGTTTTGCAGGATATAAACCGCGCCATTTGTAAATTGGGAAAGCATCTGATCACACCGATTTTTGTTTGATTAGATAATGTAAGAGCAGAGGAGATATCTAGAGTCTGATAGACCCCAGGTTTCTCAAAAAAGAATATATGACAATGCCCATTGAAGTTATAGGGGTTATTTGCGTTCCCTGTTATAGCATTAAAAGTGATAAAAAAAAAAAAATGAAAGGTACAATGTAAAAACAATAAAAAAAAAAAATCAAAATAACTAAAAAAAAAAAAAATTGCCCCTCCCATGCGCATACACCTGTCTGCACAAGCCTTGACCCTGTGCCGTTATTTAAACAGCGGTTGCACCATGCATGTGAGGTATTGCCGTGAACGTCAGATCAATTTTTTTATATTTCAAAACCTTGTGAGAAAAAATGAGATCTGCAAAATATTCAGCATGCCTCTTTTTAAATTCCTTGGGGTGTCTACTTTCTAGAAAGGGGTCATTTGGGGGGGTTTGGGGCTATCCTGGCATGTCAGGGCCTTCAAACTTTGATAGGTAGTGAGGAAGTGTAATGAGGAAATTACGCACCTTCAGGCTTTCAAAGTGGTCATTGGATTTCAGGCTCCTGTATGTGGCTAGGCTCCCAAAAAGTCTCACACATGTGGTATCCCCATACTCAATAGAAGTAGCAAAATGTATTTTGGGGTGTAATTCCACATATATCCATGGCTTGTGCGAGAAATAAATCATTTAAATGACAACTTCGTGTAAAAAAAAAAAAAAAAAAAAAAAAAAAGAAGTTTTTTTTGTCATTTTCCAGAATCTTGTGGAAAAAAAATAAATCTACCATGGACTCAATATGCCTCTCAGCAGATAGTTTAGGGTGTCTAATTTCTGAAAAGGGGTCATTTGAGGGTGTTTGTACTATCCTGGTATTTTAGCACCTCAAGAAATGTGATGGGCAGTCAGAAAGTATAAGCTGTGTAAATTCCAGTATCTATACCATAGTTTGTAGACGCTATAACGTTCACTAAAAGTAATCAATATACACTTATTGGGATTTTTTTAACCAAAAACATGTAGCAGAATACATTTTGGCCTAAATTTATGACGCAATTTTAGTTTTTTTTAGATATTTTTTATGACCAAAATGAGAAAATATTGTTTTTTTCAAAAAAATTTTTTTATCTTCAAAAATTTTTTCTGGTTATAGCGCCAAAAATAAAAAGTGCACAGGTGATCAAATACCACCAAAAGCATGCTCTATTTGTGTTAAAAAAAAAGGACATAAATTCCATTTATGTACCGTATTGCATGACCGCGCAATTGTCCGTTAAACTAGTGCAGCGCTGTATAGCAAAAAAAATGTCGTAAATTGCAGTATCTATACCATAGTTTGTAGACGCTATAACTTCCACACAAAGCAATCAGTATACACTTATTGGGATTTTTTTTACCAAAAACATGTAGCAGAATACATTTTGGCCTAAATTTATAACTAACTTTGAGTTTACTATATATTTTTTATAGCTGAAATTAAAAAATATCATTTTTCTTCAAAATATTTTGTCTTATTTTGTTTATAGCGTTAAAAATAAAAAGCGCACAGGTGATCAAATACCACCGAAAGAGAGCTCTATTTGTGTGAAAAAAAGGACGTAAATTTAGTTTAGGTGCAGCATTGCATGACCACACAATTATCAGTTGAATTAGTGCAGCGCTGAGTAGCAAAAAGAGGCCTGGTCATTAAGGGGGGTAAATCCTCAGGAGCTCAAGTGGTTAAGGGTACGAACAACATAACATACACATATATGGTATCGCTGCGATCATCAAGAGCTGGAAAATGTATTTTGGGTTGTTCTCTGATGGTAGGTTATGGTAGTAACAAGAAACACACAGCTAAATTTAAAAAAATATTTTTTTTTTTTTTTACTATTTTTGACCAGTTCTCCTTTTTTTTTTTTTTTCAATTTGTCCTGAAAAAAACCAAGGTATAATTCACCTGGCTATACAAAGTAGTTGTGATGATATGTACGGTTTTACTAACATGTCAACGTTGCCAATTTGTGCTTAGGCATTTAGATTTGTTTTATCCTTAGGAATGAAGGGGTTAATCAGTTTGCAGGAATGCTGTTGTCAGCCCATACCAGAGTTTAGGAGATGAGTGCATTTTAGGCAGATCAATCAGTATTTTCCTGTTCAGCTAATGTATGTGATGTACTTAATGGCATCCTATAACAAAAATCCTTCATTTTCCTTGTTAGGATCAGGGCCTTGAAATTCAAAAATTCCCCGAAAAATGAAGAGTGTTATACGTCAGAAAGTGAAACTGACGTGACCCCATAAAGAATGGAGAAACCAACACAGCTGATCATCAGAGATGTGACAATAAGCAGCATTCTGATTCAGTGGAAACCTTCGAACCACCAACTGTAAGGGCCATACATGGGTCGATTTTCAAACGATATTTTGTTCGAAAATTGGACCGAAGAATAATCAGCCAATTTTTGCTGTTAGTGGGGCAATGGCACCGGCCGATTTTTGTGGTTCCTCCCCATTTCGTTTATCAGCATGCTGGAAAATTCATAAAAAATTACTGATTTTCAAAATCATTGGTGGCACCATCGGATTACAGAACGAACAATGTTTTCGATCAAAAAAATCGTTCAGAATTTGACCCATGTATGGCCTGCTTAACACTGCCTACAAACTCCAACCAATAAGCACTGCCAACTGGTTATACTTTACAGGTGTGTTGCTGTAGATATATACAGAAATCTTTCCCCCAGAAAAGCAATTTCTGCAGTTCCCTAATTAGACAGAGCAGCCCATTTTTATCAAGCCAGAGTCTGGATGTCTAGATTCATGTTACAATATTATATAACTTTTTCCAGCTTTTTAATATAATTATCTGCAGTGCTCAGAGCTTCTGGCTCTACAGTTCGAGAAGTTACTATACGTTTCCAATACAGGGGATTGCTTCCCCTACTGTCTGATTGTTCCTTATTTCCTGCCTGTATGACACCATAACAAACAGCAGATTATGCCTTGAACAGGAAGTGAGGAAAATGTCTTATATGGGGACACAAGCAGTACTAAAAGTATGGCTAAGGTTATAACCTTAATCTCTGCTTTACCCAAAACGATACCTACAAAGGTTATAGTGGGACTCCTGGAGTGATCCAGACAAATAAACCCAGTTCAAGCAGTTATATTAGCCACTATGCTCTGAACCTGCAATTATATATGTGTTACAACTACTTCTGACGCATGCGCGAACTCTGTGTGCCTACCTAAAACATACAATGGCCTGCTTCAGGTAAGGCAAAGAAAAAAGAATATTGAAGTATACCTAAAGACAAAAACTTTTTAAAGTGGAACTAAACCTATTGTTGTAACAGTTTAAAAAAAACAGTTACATTCCCGCCATGCAAGGAAGGCTAACTTGTCACATTTGCTTGCTTGTCACCAAGCTGTCAAACCATCAAATGGCTGGTCTCAGAACTGATGGCCGCCCCATGACAGTTGCATATCAAATAGAAGCTAAGGTGGCAGCTTCTTTGGGTGTAAAGAATAGAAAGGTTTAGTTCCATATTAAGTGTTGGATGTAGTGCAGAATGCCGGTCAGATTTTTGTTGCGGTCTATGCACCCACTGAGGAGATTCATCCTCTGACCATTGTCACAGGACAGAAAGTGATGGGAAATCCAACATTTTACAATCATTACCAGAACAGGAAGCAGGGGATTTCTTCTCATTTCCTGTTGAGTATCTAGGACAGGAAATGAAATGAAATCTCTCCAATGGGATGCAGACCACAATAAGGCCCTGACAGGGCATCAAAACCTTGTCTCTCTGTAACTTAAAAAAAAGTGATGTGTATAAATATATTTTATTTTTGATGTGGTCAGTTCACCTGCAAAATCTGATTTTTTTTTTTTTTTTTTGCACTAATGTCTCTTTCGACAAATGGGACCCTTTTACACAAAGGCTTCGAATAGCTCTGCCTGTCAGTTTTTCAGACTTGATTGGATGGTGAGTTCGGCCCTATCGACTTGTGTTCATTTACACCCACCTACCTTCAATCTGATCTGGTCTTTAAAAAAAAAAAAAAAACAGGAGGGGATCCGTCCCGCTTTGTCAAGGTGGGTCAGATCAGAGGGCAGTTGGGTGTAAATGGACAGCGGAGTCTGTTTACACCCAGCTGCCTATAGAGCAGAGCAGGCTCTGTCTCTGTCCACTCTACATAAACTGAGCTGACATGGAATAAAGCGAGAAACTGTGTGCCGCTCCAGGTAAACTGTCAAGCTTCCTTGCTGCAAGTTTCAAACAAGGGTGCATGCACAGCCCGTCTGTGGGAGCATGCAAAGAACAAAGTCTGGAATTTACTGCACTCCTCCATTACTTTATTGTAGTATTAAAAAGACATCACATGCATAGCAGGAATAATAAAAAGACATAGTTTGAGTAAGTGCTGTTTCTAGCGTGAAATGCGTTACCTTTTATTATTTCGTGCTATGTCTGTGATGCCATTTTGATACTACAATCAAGCAATCAAGGAGTGCAGCAAATTCCGGACTTTGTTTTTTGCGTGAGCTGACACGGACCTGTCATCCACCCGCTCTGCTCTGATCAGCGGACAAATACCATGCTGATCAAAATGGAGTCTGCCCTGTCTGAAAGAGGACTAAGAGGCAAACCAACAGCTGTGCAACATGTTGTATTTTGCAGTTTAATGTTGTTGGCTAATTATTTTTATATGTTTTCTTTTCAAGGATCACTCAGATACATTTAGCCATAAATATTTCTTGCATAAATACACATCACGGCATTCTGTACACAGTGAAGGTGCCATTTAACAGCACATACTAAAACATGCCTAGTATATGAACACTGGCACACCAAAAAAGCAGAAGGCTAAACTGTACTGGAAGTCTATATTACCTAGATTGCGCACCCATATTTTTAAACTTTCAAACAAATCAGTAAAGGTTAAAATGTCAGCTGTAGAAGCAGTGCGGGTAACTGAGCTTGCCATAAAAGGAGATAAACTGTTGCTTGTCATGCAGAGTAGGCGAAAGGCAATGCCACTTGTTCTCATGTTATTTTTTAACCAATGTGGTAATAAAATAATATTGCACAATACAGACACATATTGGAGGGTGCAGCTGAAACAGTGTTATGTATTTATCTTAAAGAGTCAGTTCACTCAAAATGTCAGTTTTTGGTAAATACAGGAGTTAACATGACACTAAACTCAAGTATGGATTCTCAACTCAAAAATGTACCTTCTATTGCTCTCCGCCTCCTCCAGATGTCCGGATTCTTTCTTTTTTTTTTTTGTGCTGCTGTGGTCCGACTTCCTATTACAGGAGGTGATGTTCATTCGCCATGATCTGAATGTATGTAGGAATGTAGCCAACCTCCCTTAGATGGACTAGATACTATGGGATTTGTAATAACCACAACTAAGGCGCATTGCTCTCTCCAAGCAAGTAAGGGGAAAAAGAGAGGCATGGGAACTCACAGAGGATGTTACAAGGAGGCAGAAAAACACAGTAAAAAATAATTTAATGAAAAATAGATTTCAGGGCCATTAGGTAGTACAACTGTATAGATTATTTTTAGATAATAAGAGTATGGTTTAGTGTTCCTTTAAACCGCTCATTGTTTTTTTTTTTTTTAATATCTCTAGGAAATGGGATCGCTGTTGGATTTTCCATGTATTCTTTAACATTGTAGAGACTAAAGCAGAAGGGAAATTAAGTGGTTTGAAGGGACGTAGCTGCGAACTCAGACCCTTAAAGCAGAACTGAAGACACAAATATTTACCTTAGTTTCAATGGTACAGTGCCCACGAGGTCCCTCTCTGACTTCTCCCTGGTTTCTTTCAGGTGATGATCTTAGGCCGTTTTGATTTCCTGGGGCAGGATGATGTCACTTCTGTACTGTGCTTCTGTAAACTGACGTCCAGGGGCGGACTGACAACTCATGGGGCCCCTGGGCAATAGGGGATCATGGGGCCCCTGTGTCCTTGCCCAAACTCAAAAAAGCCTTTAAAAAAGGTACCAGGGGCATCTCATGGGGCCCCCTACTGACTCCAGGCCCTCGGGCAGTGCCCGAGTTTCCAAATGGTCAGTCTGCCCCTGCTGACGTCACTTCTGTAAACTGAGCTGTGCATGCATTCTGCAGAGGATGGCGAATAGGAATGGAAGTGTATTTTATTGCAGAAGAGACACTGCATGTCTCTCTGCAATAAAAAGCCTACCTTCTCATCATTTTTTATTTTTGCATTTGGGTTGGTTCAACTGGAACGCACATGAGCTGCCAAACGTACCGCAAGGACTACTTTTTCAGGGCGTACCCACCAAAACTTGTTGGCCACAAACATGCGGGTATGCATTTGGGGTGCTGTTAACAATTCATTGGCACCTGTCTGTGTCTCGCAAGGGTAGCTCCTTCACGTGCGGTGTTTTGCCTTTCCTGCATTACGTTTAGTTGTGAATGACCCTTAGTTCTGCTTTGGGCAGATAGAGCTAAGGTTCACCCAAAACTGAAATATTTTAAGTAGACTGACTCTTTCAGCTAGCAGCCTTATAAAGTTGTATCAGACCTAAAAATGTTTGTAATGTCATGGAAAAATGTGTTCATGTTTTTTATAGACTTATTTTTTTTTTAAAAAGTAAAAAATGTTCTATTAAACTCACTTATTGATGCAGTCATTGTTGGTGTGGTTTATTTGTAATTTGCATAAAGCTGGATGAATTAACTGTTTTCCTTTTATATGCTAGGTTCACACTAGTTGGGGCCGTGCAGCCTGTGTTTGCGCAGTCATGGCAACACATTCATTTGAATGGGATGCTGTGCCTGCGTTTCATGCAAAAAAGAAAGGTGCATGCACCTTTTCAAAAACACATCCACAGGGAAACTGCATAGTCATAAACTGCATGGTCTTTATGACCATGCGGTTTCCCTGCAATTCCTACACCCACAATCTGAGATGCATCGGGGGTGCCATTCAGAATGAATGGGATCCCTGCGTGTCTCACAAGAGCAGCACGATTCAGGTGCAGGGACAGGTGTGATTCTGGTGCGATTCCTGCACCCGCAACCAGCCTGCAGTCTGAGGGCTAGTGTGAACCAGGGCTTACAACCTCCAGCTGCCGAAGAATAATAGTTAAGGGGAGAGATACTAATGAACGATTCTCATCAATGAGCAACATCAACCCAATATGATACAGCAAGACCTTTTTGTCCTTTGAAACCAAACTGGTGAGTCCTAGGATGCTCTCAGCATACTGTAAACGTTCTATTAAATGATATGTAAATCTATTAACAAAAATGAAA